GATAGATAGATAGATTAGATAGATCTGAATATAGATATATAGGGCTTGCAAATATTGCAGGGGAAATGCACGCAAACACACACACACATCTAGATAGTTATAAACATAGATATATAGGGCTTGGAAATATTGCAGGAGGGAAATGCGCGCGCGCACACACACACAGATGTCTAGATAGATATTGTTTTATTTTATTGTATTGAACCCTATGTTGTTAGCCAGCCTGAGTCCCTCCTTGGAGGTTGAGAAGACCGAGTTATAAAAAATCTAATTAATTAATTAATTAATTAATTAATAATAGATATAAACATAGATATATAGGGCTTGGAAATATTGAAGGAGGGAAATGCACTTATACTCGAGTATATACAGTATTTTTCACCACAACTGATCTCTAGGGATGAGTACTGCACCCAAAGGCTTTTTCCTCCCTTCCTTTTGCTCCAGTTTGTCTTCTATCCATCCTTTTTTTCAGTTTGTATGTATTTTTGTTCTTCCCCTCTGCTCAGATAAGCGCTGGGAGCTCCAGCAGTAAGCTGAGTGACAAGCAACTGTACCCGTCCTTTTTCCGAACCATCCCCAGCGATCAAAACCAAGCGGGCGCCATGGTTCAACTGCTGAACTATTTCAACTGGAACTGGGTGGCTGCTCTGGTAACGGACAATGAATATGGCCGCCAAGTCCTGGAGGTCTTTGTCCAGTTTGCTCTCTGCAGGGATATGTGCGTGGCCTATGAAGCCACCTTCCCACGCAATCAGGATGAAATTCAGAGAAAAGAAGAGCTAACCAAAATAGTGAATCAGCTGGAGGTCTCCCGCATCAACGCTACTGTCATCTTCTCACATTCCAGCGAAACTGAGGAACTGCTCCGGGTCGTGGTTGGAAGGGGAATTACCGGCAAAGTATGGATCGCCAGCGAATGTTGGTCAACGTCCTCCACTATTGCACTCATCCCAAACCTGACCAAGATCGGCACGGTGCTTGGGATGGCTGTAGAAAGCGGGGAGATGCCCGGCTTCCAGGAATATATCCAGAATGTCCTACGGGACCAGAAGAGTCCCAATGTCCCTGACACCTGCCCTGAATGCAGGTATCTAAGCCTGGCCAACTTCTCCACCAAGTTCTTCGAGACGTTCAACACCTACAAGGCCGTCTACGCCATCGCCCATGCTCTCCATCAGCTGCTGAATTGCAGCACTATCCATAAGACGTGTGACTTGGACCGAGAAATCTATCCTTGGCAAGTAAGTGCAGGGTTGCTCACACTTTACGGCTGAAATTAACTTCAGCACCACTTGGTTGGCATAGATGGTACTCTATGGACCTATGAGAGCTCATGCTCAAATAAGTCTCCAAGGTTGTCCCCTTCTGCTTTTTTTGTAGCTTCTGGAGGAAATACCGAAGGTCAACTTCACCATCGAATCTCAGCCGGTGAACTTCAGCAAGACAGGAGATCCACCAGCAGGTTATGATCTCCTCTTTTGGGACTGGATCCTGCCCAATAACCATATGTTTGCAGTCGTCGGCAGATATGATGCTTTGACGCACAATCTCAATATCAATGAGTCACAGATCCGCTGGAGCACAGAGAACGGGAAGGTTTGTGCCAAGAATATCACATTTCCCCTCCAATTGGTGGTGATCTGGCTTTGCCTGCTGTGTTTCCATTATAGTCTATAGCTGGGATGGGTAAACCTAGGCCCAGGGGCCGGATGTGGCCCCTTGGGCTCTTTTCTCAGACCCTCCTCTCTCTCACCATCCTATCCTTCCCACCTTCTCTCTTTCTTTCCTCCTTCCCTCCCTCTTTCTCCTTCCCTTCCACTCTTCCTGCCTTCCTTCCTCTTTCCTTCCCTCCATCCCTTACCTTTCTTTCTCCCTCCATCCTTTCCTTCCATCCTTTCTTCCCTCTCTCCCCTTTTCTCCTTCCTTCCTTTTTGTCTTTTCTTCCATCTTTCATTTATCCTTCCATTCCTTCCTACTCTTCCCTTCCCTTTCATCCTTCCCTTACTCCCTTTCGTCCATCCTTCTGTTCTTCTTCCTTCCCTTCCTTCCAACTTTCCCTCCCTTTTATCTTTCCTTCCATCTCTCTTTTCTTCCTCCTTACCTCCCTCTTTCCCCTTTCTTCCCTTCTTCCCTTTTGTCCTTTCTTTCCTTTTCCTTTTTCCTTTCCTTCCTTCCTTCCCTTCCCTTTTTCTTCCTCCTCTCTTCTTCCTTCTTTCCTTCTTTCTTTTCCTTCCTTCCTTCCTTTCTTCCTTCCTTCCTTCCTTCCTTCCCTTTTGTCTTTCCTTTCTTCTCTCTTTCCTTTATCCTTCCCTTCCTTTCTTCTCTTTTTCCTTCCCCTTTCTCATTCATCCTTCATTCCCTTCTGTCTTTCCTTCCTTCCCTCTTTCCTCCCTCCTTCTCTCTTTTCATCCTTCCTTCCCTCATTTTGTCCTTCTTTCCATCCATCCTTCCGTTCCATAGTCCTTCCCTCCCTTTTGTCTTTCCTACCATCTCTCTTTCCTTCCTCTTTACCTACCTCTTTCTCCCCTCCTTCCCTTTTGTCTCTCCTTCCTTCTCTCTTTCCTTTATCCTTCCCTTCCTTCGTTTCCTCCCTCCTCCTTTTTCTTCCCCCTTCCCTTCTCTTTTTTCCCTTCATGTCTTTCGTTCCTTCCCTCTTTCCTCCCTCCTTCCTCTCTCCCTTTTCTCCTTCTCATTCCTTCTCTTCCCCCCCTTTTCCTTCCCTTTCTTCTCTCTTTCCCTTCTTCCTTTTTCTTTCCTCCCTCTTCCCTTCCCTCCTTCCCTTCTCTCCTCCTTTCTCCTTTCATTCCTATTTGATCCTTTCCTTCCCTCCCTCTTTCCTCCCTCCTTCATTCCCTCTTTCTTTCTCCTTCTTTCCTTCTTATTTGTCTTTCCTTCCTTCCCTCTTTCCTCCCTCCTTCCCTCTCTCCTTCTTTCTCCTTCTTTCCTTCTTATTTGTCTTTCCTTCCTTCCCTCTTTTCTACCTCCTTCCCTCTCTCTTTCTCCTTCCTTCCCTTTTGCTTTCTCTTCCCTCTTTCCTCCCTCCTTCCCTCTCTCCCTATTTCTCCTTCTTTCATTCCTATTTGTCTTTCCTTCCCTCCGTCTTCCCTTCCTCCTTCCCTCCCTCTTTCTCCTGCCCTTTTGTTTTCCCTTCCCTCTTTTCTCCCTCCTTCCCGCTCTCCCTCTTTCTCCTTCTTTCCTTCCTATTTGTCTTTCCTTCCTTCCCTCTTTCCTCCCTCCTTCCCTCTCTCCCTCTTTCTCCTTTCATTCCTATTTGACTTTCTTCCCTCCCTCTTTCCTCCCTCCTTCATTCCCTCTCTCTTTCTCCTTCTTTCCTTCTTTTGTCTTTCCTTCCTTCCCTCTTTTCCTCCCTCCTTTCCCTCTCTCCTTTCTCCTTCTTCTTCTTCTTTCCCTTCCTTCCCTCTTTTCCTCCCTCCCTTCCTTCTCTTTTCCTCCTTTCCCTTCCCTTTTCTTTCCTTCCCTCCTTTCTCCCCTCCTTCCCTTCCTCCCTTTTGTACTTCCTTCCCTTTTGTCTTTCCTTCCTTCCCTCTTTCCTCCCTCCTTCCCTCTCTCCCTCTTTCTCCTTTCATTCCTATTTGACTTTCCTTCCCTCCCTCTTTCCTCCCTCCTTCATTCCCTCTCTCTTTCTTTCTCCTTCTTTCCTTCTTGTCTTTCCTTCCTTCCCTCTTTCCTTCTTTCTCCTTCTTTCCTTCTTATTTGTCTTTCCTTCCTTCCCTCTTTTCTACCTCCTTCCCTCTCTCTTTCTCCTTCCTTCCCTTTTGCTTTCTCTTCCCTCTTTCCTCCCTCCTTCCCTCTCTCCCTATTTCTCCTTCTTTCATTCCTATTTGTCTTTCCTTCCCTCCGTCTTCCCTTCCTCCTTCCCTCCCTCTTTCTCCTTCCCTTTTGTTTTCCCTTCCCTCTTTTCTCCCTCCTTCCCGCTCTCCCTCTTTCTCCTTCTTTCCTTCCTGTTTGTCTTTCCTTCCTTCCGTCTTTCCTCCCTCCTTCCCTCTCTCCCTCTTTCTCCTTTCATTCCTATTTGACTTTCCTTCCCTCCCTCTTTCCTCCCTCCTTCATTCCCTCTCTCTTTCTTTCTCCTTCTTTCCTTCTTGTCTTTCCTTCCTTCCCTCTTTCCTTCTTTCTCCTTCTTTCCTTCTTATTTGTCTTTCCTTCCTTCCCTCTTTTCTACCTCCTTCCCTCTCTCTTTCTCCTTCCTTCCCTTTTGCTTTCCCTTCCCTCTTCCCTCCCTCCTTCCCTCTCTCCCTCTTTCTCCTTCTTTCCTTCCTATTTGTCTTTCCTTCCTTCCCTCTTTCCTCCCTCCTTCCCTCTCTCCCTCTTTCTCCTTCCATCCTTCCTTCACTCACAGGGCTGCCAGTCCTCCTAGCAGGGCATGCAAGAATGTGGCCCCCAAGTTAGAAGGTTTGCCCTTGCTTGGTCTATAGTCTACACTGCCTCGCAGTGGTCCTCTGGGTTTTCCAGGAAGGGATTTGGAGAAATCTCCCGTTGTGGCAATAAGACGATCCTGGAAGGAAGTTCCCCTGAATGCGTATTCCTTTTTGTTCTTCCAGGCCCCTGTCTCCAGATGTACGCAGGGCTGCAAGCCGGGGCAGAAGCGGTGGCTGAGAGGCGAACACAACTGCTGTTACCAATGTGAGGACTGCCCAGCTGGTTACTTCCAGGATAAAAACAGTAAGTTTCGGGCAAATAGTCTGAAGGATCCATGGGGGGCAATTCCTAATTGGTTCTGTCATAAAAATCACCAATAATGAAATGATAATGAACATTTGAAAGTTTTGTTAGAGTTCTGAAATTTTCACCACCAGAACTTTAGCAACACTTTAGAAGCAAAGCTCTGGAACCCCCCCCCCCACACACACACACACACCCCAGATTTCATTATAAATGGCAATTCCTTATTGGTTCTGTCATAAAAATCACCAATAATCAAATAATGAAAATTTGAAAGTTTTGTTAGAGTTCTGAAATTTTCACCACCAGAACTCTAGCAACACTTTAGAAGCAAAGCTCCTAACCCCCTCCACAGATTTCATTATAAATGGCAATTCCTAATTGATTCTGTCATAAAAATTGCCAATAATGAAATAATAATGAAATTTGAAAGTTTTGTTAGAGTTCTGAAATTTTCACCACCAGAACTTTAGCAACACTATAGAAGCAAAGCACCAGCACCCCCTAGATTTGTAAGTAGTTTAGAACCATTTAGAATAATGGTTCTGTCATAAAAATTGCCAATAACGAAATAATAATGAAAATTTGAAAGTTTTGTTAGAGTTCTGAAATTTTCACCACCAAAACTTTAGCAACACTTTAGAAGCAAAGCCCTCCCCCCCCCCCCCCACTCCCCAGATTTCATTATAAATGGCAATTCCTTATTGGTTCTGTCATAAAAATCGCCAATAATGAAATGATAATGAAAATTTGAAAGTTTTGTTAGAGTTCTGAAATTTTCACCACCAGAACTTTAGCAACACTTTAGAAGCAAAGCTCTTACCCCCCCCCCCCCCACTCCCCAGATTTCATTATAAATGGCAATTCCTTATTGGTTCTGTCATAAAAATCACCAATAATGAAATGATAATGAACATTTGAAAGTTTTGTTAGAGTTCTGAAATTTTCACCACCAGAACTTTAGCAACACTTTAGAAGCAAAGCTCTTCCCCCCCCCCCCCTCGCAGATTTCATTATAAATGGCAATTCCTAATTGGTCCTGTCATAAAAATGCCAGTAATGAAATAATAATGAAAATTTGAAAGTTTTGTTAGAGTTCTGAAATTTTCACCACCAGAACTTTAGCAACACTTTAGAAGCAAAGCACCAGCACCCCCTAATTTTGTAAGTACCTTAGAACCATTTCTCCTAAATTACCAAGCAATTTTTGAATAATTAGGTACCAGATTAAAGGTATTTTATGTAGTTTCTTAAAAAATGATAATAATATATGGGTCATTGATCTTGATTTTTAGCTATGCCAATTTGAAGTGTGTGTGTGTGAGTGTGTGTGTGTGTGTCATTTTCAACTCTTAGACTTTTGAAAACATAGATAAGAAGCACAATGGGGCAAGAAAGACTGACCGGACTTGCACTCTTGGAGCCTGAATTCTGTCAAAGTGTATTGTAGTTCACTTACAATCAAAGAGCATGCTGAACTCCACCAATGATGGAATTGAACCAAACTTGGCACACAGAACTCCCACGACAAACAAAAAATATATATCAATGATTGGTTGGGGGGGGGGGCAAAATACTGTTTGCTTACCATTGAAAATTACCTAGGGCAGTGGTGCTCAACCTTCCTAATGCCGCGGCCCCTTAATACAGTTTCTCATGTTGTGGTGACCCCCAACCATAACCCTAACATTATGAATCACCATGTAAATAATGATCTGCAGGATGTATTTTCATTCATTGGAGCAATTACCCGGTATGCCCAAGTTTGAATACTGGCGGGGTTGGTGGGGGATTGATTTTGTCATTTGGGAGTTGTAGTTGCTGGGATTTATAGTTAACATGTAAACAAAGAGCATTCTGAACCCCACCAACAATGGAATTGAACCAAAGTTGGCACAGTGAACTGCCATGATCATCACAAAATACTCGAAGGGTTTGATGAGCACTGACCTTGAGTTTGGGAGTTGTAGTTCGCTTACATCTAGAGAGCACTGTGGGCTCAAACAATGATGGATCTGAACCAAATTTGGCACGGATACTCAATATGCCCAAATATGAACACTGATGGGGTTTGGCGAAAATAGACTTTGACATTTGGGAGTTGTAGGTACTGGGATTTATAGTTCACCTACAATCAAGGAGCACTCTGAACCCCACCAATGATAGAATTGGGCCAAACTTCCCACACAGAACCCACATGACCAACAGAAAGTAATGTGTTTTCTGATGGTTTTTGGCGACCCCTCTGACATCCCTTCGCGACCCCCTCAGGGGTCCCGACCCCCAGGTTGAGAAACACTGACCTAGGGCCACCTCTGCTAGGACCTCAGGTAGAGATCTTGGAGGTCAAATCTTCTATTTGTTGATCATATGCCCAATCCTATTCTTTTTTTCCGCCCAGAGCCGGACGAATGCACTCCATGCTCTAAAAACGAATGGTCTACCGCGCGGAGCACAACATGCCAGCAGAGAGTGGTGGAGTATCTGGAAATTACCGATCTCATTGCCATCATCATGGTGGCACTGACTATGGTGGTGTTTGCTCAGATGGTTGCCGTCACTGGGATTTTTGCCATGTACCGGGGCACGCCGGGCATGCGGTACGTTGGTGGTTTCTCATTGCAATCCATCCTCTTCTCCACAACTTGCTTCTGCATCAGCTTCCCGTTTTTCGTCATGAAGCCCACGAGGGCGATCTGCAAGGTCCGTCAGCCCCTCTTCTTCGGCAGCTTCACCATCACCTTGTCCACGTTGCTCGGCAAGACTATCCAAAGCGTGGGACTCGACCAAATCTTGAAGAGGCCTTGGGTGAGGAACCATGTGATGGTCCTCTGCATTACTTTCAACGCAGCTCTCCAAGGTCTCCTCTGTCTCTTTTGGTACTATTGGGAACCTCCTATCTTGGAGGAAAACACGGAGATGGAGAGGACCGTCCTGCTACAATGCCATGACAGCAAGTTCCCTGGCTTTGGGATCCTCCTTGCCCACGACTATTGCCTGACCGCTATTTGCTTTGCTTGCTCTCTTGTGGGCTACAACTCAGAGAAGAAGGAGGGCAACAGAGCCGCCCAGTCCATCAACTTCGCCATGCTCCTCATCCTCATCATCTGGATCATCTTCATCCCCACCTATTCCACCACCCAAGGCAAATTTGTCGCCTTGTTCCAGGTCTTTGCAGGCCTGGCCAGCATCTTCGCCATCTTTGGCTCCTACTACTACCCGGTGTGTTACGTCATGCTCTTTGCGCCTCACTTGAACACCGACAACTACTTCCGCCTGGTCCAGGACCCTCCCATGGACAACAAGGAACCAAGCACCAGAGAAGACAAATAAGGGATTCACCTCTCACCAATCGAAAATCAATCTCACTACATCAGCGAGTAGCAAGTTTTGTCGCTACTAAGGGATTGCAACACACTTGCAGGCGGTGGTAAAACCCCTGCTGAAGAAGTCCTCCCTTGACCCAACTATGGTAAAGGTAGTCCCCTGACATTAAGTCCAGTCATGTCTGACTCTGGGGTGTGGGGCTCATCTCCATTTCTAAGCCGAAGAGCCAGTGTTGTCCGTAGACACCTCCAAGGTCATGTGGCCGGCATGACTGCATGGAACGCCGTTACCTTCCCGCCGGAGCGGTACCTATTGATCTACTCACATTTGCATGTTTTCGAACTGCTAGGTTGGCCCAACTATATGTGACAACTATAGACCAATTTCCAACCTCCCTTTTCTGGGCAAGGTTCTGGAGCGGGTGGTTGCCTCGCAGCTCCAGGGATTCCTCGATGACACCAAATTTCTGGATCGCTCGTAGTCCTGGCTTTAGTACCGAGATGGCTTTGGTCGCCTTGGTGGATGACCTCCGCAGGGAAGTGGACAGGGGGAGTGTGACCCTGCTGGTTCTCTTGGACATCTCAGTGGCTTTCGATACCATCGATTATGGTATCCTTCTGGGATGACTCTCTGGGATGGGTCTCGGGGGCACGGTTCTGTCACGGCTCCGGTCCTTCCTGGAGGGTCGTTCCCAGTTGGTGAAGCTGGCGGACTTCTGCTCGGACCCCTCACCATTGATCTGTGGGGTCCCGCAAGGATCCATTCTGTCCCCCATGCTTTTTAACATCTACATGAAACTGCTGGGAGAGGTCATCCAGAGTTTTGGAGGACGGTGTCATCTCTACGCAGATGACACCCAACTCCATTACTCATTTCCACCAGACTCCAAGGAAGCCCCGAGGATACTGGACCATTGCCTGGCCGCTGTGACGATCTGGATGAGGAGGAACAAGCTGAGGATCAATCCTGACAAGACAGAGGTCCTCCAGGTCAGTCGCCCATCTGATCGGCATATTGGGTGGCAACCTGTGCTGGACGGGGTTGCACTCCCCCTGAAATCACAGGTCCACAGTTTGGGAGTTCTCCTGGACTCAGCGCTGACGCTTGATGCGCAGGGAGAACCTTCGCACAATTAAAACTTGTGCACCAACTGCGACCGTACCTCGTGAAGTCAGACTTGACCATGCTGGTCCATGCCTTAGTTACCTCTAGACTGGACTATTGCAATGCTCTCTACATGGGGCTACCCTTGAAGACAGCCTGGAAATTACACCTTGTCCAACGGTCGGCAGCCAGATTAATAACTGGGGCAACTTACAGGGAGAGGTCAACCCTCCTGTTTAAGGAGCTCCATTGGCTGCCGTTCATCTTCCGGTCAGGGGAGCGTGCTCGCTCCATCCATGTTCAACATCTACACAAATGACCAGCCACTGCCAGAAGGAACAGAGAGTTTCATCTATGCTGATGATCGTGCCATCACCACTCAGGCAGGGAGCTTTGAGATGGTTGAACAGAAGCTCTCCGAAGCTCTAGGTGCTCTTACTGCCTATTACAGGGAAAACCAACTGATCCCCAACCCATCTAAAACACAGACATGTGCCTTTCACCTTAAGAACAGACAAGCATCCCGAGCTCTGAGGATCACCTGGGAAGGAATCCCACTGGAGCATTGCAGCACACCCAAATACCTGGGAGTCACTCTGGACCGTGCTCTGACCTACAAGAAGCACTGCCTGAACATCAAACAAAAAGTGGGTGCTAGAAACAATATCATACGAAAGCTGACTGGCACAACCTGGGGATCACAACCAGATACAGTGAAGACATCTGCCCTTGTGCTATGCTACTCTGCTGCTGAGTATGCATGCCCAGTGTGGAACACATCTCACCACGCTAAAACAGTGGATGTGGCTCTTAATGAGACATGCCGCATTATCACGGGGTGTCTGCACCCTACACCACTGGAGAAATTACACTGCTTAGCTGGTATTGCACCACCTGACATCCGCCGGGAAGTAGCAGCCAATAGTGAAAGGACCAAGGCAGAGACATCTCCAGCTCATCCCTGTTTGGGTATCAGCCAGCACGTCAACGACTTAAATCAAGAAATAGTTTTCTAAGATCTACAGAGACACTCGCTGGAAACCTCAGCAAGCGAGAGTCCAAAAGTGGCAGGCCCAAACCCAACACCTCAATCAATGGCTGATACCAAATGAGAGACTCCCCCGTGGGCACACAGAAAACTGGGCGACTTGGAAGGCGCTGAACAGACTGCGCTCTGGCACCACGGGATGCAGAGCCAACCTCAAGAAATGGGGCCACAAAGTGGAATCCTCAACATGCGAGTGTGGAGAGGAGCAAACCACTGACCACCTGCTGCAATGCAACCTGAGCCCTGCCACATGCACAAGGGAGGACCTTCTTGCGGCAACACCAGAGGCACTCCAAGGGGCCAGATTCTGGTCCAAGGACATTTAATCAACTACCAAGCTTGCAAACTTTGTGTGTTTTATTTTTTAATCTGTTTGTTTGTTTTGTTCTGTTAGAAATGTAATACAGTGTTCTGGTTGTGGATGACATGATAAATAAATAAAATCTTCCGGTCCCAAATCAAGGTTCAGGTTCTTACCTATAAAGCCCTAAATGGTTTGGGATCCGCCTACCTTCGTGACCGTATCTCTCTCCATGAACCAGCCCATACCCTTTGATCTTCAGGCGAGGCCCTCTTTTCGCCCTTCCCAGTCTCTCAGACTCACCTTGTGGGTACAAGGGAGAGAGCCTTCTCCTCTGTGGCCCCCCGATTCTGGAATTCACTGCCCGGAGAGATTAGGAAAGCCCCTACTTTGGAAACATTTAAGAAGAGTCTTAAGACCTGGCTCTGCCGTCGCGCTTTCGAAGAGTAGCCACATAATTTTATGCTAGTGCTCCTCCAATGTTCTTGTCCCAGAAGTCCCCCCCCCCCCCCTCACCAATATGAAGGTTGGCTTAATTTCCTATCTCTCTATGAATTTGCCCTTACAATTAGTTCTCCTCCCTTATCTCCCTTTGTCTGCCATTATGCTTAGTTCTTATGTTTTGTGAATATTGTTTTATATGCTTTGATGTTTTATATTTTACTGTTATGTTGTTTATTTGATTGTAATTTGTATTGTTATATTGTCATTTTTGTTCGGGCTTGGCCCCATGTAAGCTGTTCTGAGCCCCCTTTGGGGAGATGGTGGCGGGGTATAAATAAAGATGATGATGATGATGATGATGATGATGATTATTATTATTATTGGAATGGTTTGGCCTTCCTTTCTGGGAGTTGTAGTTCAATCACAACCAAAGACCATGTCCTCCATCGATAATGGACTTGGACTAAACTTGGCACACAAAACCACCATGACTAACTCATCTACTGGAATGGTCTGACCTTCCTTTCTGGGAGTTGTAGTTCAATCACAACCAGAGACACCATGTCCTCCATCGATGATGGACCTGGACTAAACTTGGCACACAGAACCACCGCGACTAACTCAACCTACTGGAATGGTTTGACCTTCCTTTCTGGGAGTTGTAGTTCAATCACCACCAGAGACACCATGTCCTCCATTGATGATGGACCTGGACCTAACTTAGCACACAGAACCACCATGACTAACTCAACCTACTGGAATGGTTTGACCTTCCTTTCTGGGAGTTGCAGTTCACTCACAACCAGAGACACCATGTCCTCCATCAATGATGGACCTGGACAAAGAACCACCATGACTAACTCAACCTACTGGAATGGTTTGACCTTCCTTTCTGGGGGTTGTAGTTCAATCACCACCAGAGACACCATGTCCTCCATCGATGATGGACCTGGACCAAACTTGGCACACACAACCACCATGACTAACTCAACCTACTGGAATGGTTTGACCTTCCTTTCTGGGAGTTGTAGTTCAATCACAACCAAAGACCATGTCCTCCATCGATAATGGACTTGGACTAAACTTGGCACACAAAACCACCATGACTAACTCATCTACTGGAATGGTCTGACCTTCCTTTCTGGGAGTTGTAGTTCAATCACCACCAGAGACACCATGTCCTCCATTGATGATGGACCTGGACCTAACTTAGCACACAGAACCACCATGACTAACTCAACCTACTGGAATGGTTTGACCTTCCTTTCTGGGAGTTGTAGTACAATAACAACCAGAGACACCATGTCCTCCATCGATGATGGACCTGGACCAAACTTGGCACACAGAACCACCATGACTAACTCAGCCCACTGGAATGGTCTGACCTTCCTTTCTGGGAGTTGTAGTTCAATCACAACCAGAGACACCATGTCCTCCATCGATGATGGACCTGGACCAAACTTGGCACACAGAACCCCCATGACTAACTCAACCTACTGGAACGGTTTGACCTTCCTTTCTGGGAGTTGTAGTTCAATCACAACCAGAGACACGGTGTCCTCCATTGATGATGGACCTGGACCTAACTTAGCACACAGAACCACCATGACTAACTCAACCTACTGGAATGGTTTGACCTTCCTTTCTGGGAGTTGTAGTTCAATCACAACCAGAGACACGGTGTCCTCCATCGATGATGGACCTGGACCAAGCTTGGCACACAGAACCACCATGACTAACTCAACCTACTAGAATGGTTTGACCTTCCTTTCTGGGAGTTGTAGTTCAATCACAACCAGAGACATGGTGACCTCCATCGATGATGGACCTGGACCAAACTTGGCACACAGAACCACCATGACTAACTCAGCCTACTGGAATGGTCTGACCTTCCTTTCTGGGAGTTGTAGTTCAATTACAACCAGAGACACTGTGACCTCCATCGATGATGGACCTGGACCAAACTTGGCACACAGAACCCCCATGACTAATTCAACCTACTGGAATGGTTTGACGTTCCTTTCTGAGAGTTGTAGTTCAATCACAACCAGACATGGTGTCCTCCATCGATGATGGACCTGGACCAAACTTGGTACACAGAACCACCATGACT